TTTTTATTAAAATATTTAATTAAAAAAATGAATTTTTATTTATTTATTTATTTTAAAAATTCATTTATTATTATTTTAAAAAAAATCGAATTATTTATTATTTATTTTTCTTTTATTTTCTTTTTTCTTTCTATTCTTTCTTTTTCTTTTTCTTCTTCCTCAAGCAGGTCGCCGGCCACGGCGACGGCCAATGGGCAAGCTCGAGGCGAGCCTCGAGCTCACCCGAGGCCGGTGAGCTCAAGGCTTGGCTGATCCAAGCGAGCTCAAGCTCCACCGAGGCCGGCGAGTTCGAGCTCGACTGAGGCTAGCGAGCTTACGGCTCGGCCGAGGCCGGCAAGTTCGCGGCTCGCTAGATCCAGGAGAGGCGAACGAGCTCGAGCTCGCCTATGGCCATCGCCGGGCAAGCCTCAAGCTCGCCGATGGTCGTCGCCGGCTGGTCGCGGTGGTGGGAGGAGGAGGGAGGAGGAAAAAGAAAAAGGAAAGAAAAGAAAAAAGAAAAAGAAAAGAGAAAAAAGAAAATTAAAAAATAATAAAAAATTCAATTTTTTTCAAAAAAAGAAATAAAGAAATAAAAAGAGAAATAAAGAATTCAAATTTTAAAAATTTTAAAAAGTCATTTTTTTCCTAAAATAAAATCATGAGATTTAAATCATTTTCCAATGAAATCCAAATATCAGAAATGATTTTCCGGAAAACATTTTCCTTTATCATTGAGTTTTCCGAGAAACAAACGCACTGGTGCATTTGTTTCTTGGAAAACTCAATGATAAAGGCAGAAAATCATTTTCCAGGAAAATGCTTAGTTTTCCTTTGTTTGGTAATATGTAATAAAAATCATTTTCTGACATTTGGATTTTATTGGAAAATGATTTCAATCTCATGACTTTATTTCAGGCAAAAAACAATCGAATTTTTTTAATTATGTTTAATTTATTTGTATATTTTATTTTCTTTTTAAAAAATTCAAATTTTTAATTTTCTTTTTTCTTCTCTTTCCTTTTCTTTTATTTCCTTTTCTTTCTCCTCCTTCCTCCGTCGCGACTAACCGGCAACACCTTGGCAATGGCCCCAGGCGAGCTCGAGCTCGCCGACCTTAGGCGAGCCGCAAGCCCATCGGCCTCGGGAGAGCCTGAGCTCACCTGGATCTGGCGAGCCATGAGCTTGCAAGGATTAGCCGAGATCGGATTCGCCTGGATCTGGTGAGCCGCGAGCTCGTCGGCCTTGGCTGAGCCCTAGCTCACCTGGATCTGCCGAGCCTCGAGCTCAACGGCCTCGGGCGAGGTCAAGACGAGGTGGAGGCGGCAAGGTCAGGCTGGCGAGGCTCAACCTCGCCCGAGGCCGAGCTCGCCGGATCCCGACGAGACTCAAGCTCGCCACGCTGAGGTTGGTGAGCTCGGCCTTGCCTGAGGCTGGCCGTCGCTAGCCCACGCTTGTGGCTAGTCGTCGGCGACCGGCGGAGGGAGGAAGAAGGAAAAAGAAGAAAAGAAAAAGAAAAGAAAGAAAAGAAAAGAAAAATAAAATATTAACAAATTTAAGATAATCAATTCCGGAAAGTGTCCTCGCCTTCTTAAAGTAAGGAATTCACTTTCCTAAATGTATACATGAATGCTTTCCTTGATCGGAAAGTGTTTTTGTTGACCAAATCATTTTCGGACAACCTAACGGATGAAAGTCCAGAAAATACTTTTCTGAAAAACAATTTCACCAAAACAAATGCACCATTATATGGAAAATCTACAATTTTTAATACACGGATTGTGTAAAATAAACGATTTACCTTTTGCGGGTTATTTTTGGACACAAATACTGTAGTTTTTAAATACAATAATTAGACTAAATTTTATACAAGTTCTTACATAAATTTTTTTAATCCAATTTAATATTATAACAAAATAACGTACTTCTCACCCCGGCACATCTTCCTAAACGTGAGATTCCGTAGACGTGGCACAAAAGATTACCTTTAATTGTCCCAAAACATATCATCTTAGAGTCATTAAGAGAGGGAACCTTACTTAGTAACTTATGTCGCTTAATCCCCCACCTCGATAAGTATCATATATTATATGTATGCGCACGCATATATGTCCAAAATATTAGATGGGAAGGCTCTTCTTTTCTGCACGCGAGATGCCGTGTTGATCTACATCGACTGCAAACGAGATGGAATCGAGCACACTGTGCGATTAGAATAATCTTTATGTTGTAAGCAACCGACCCAAGATGAGAAAAGGGAGAAACATGAACATCTTCCGATTCAAGCCATGTGAGGGGTCGACGGTGGAAGAACTAACTGGAGAAGATTCACATAGCCATTTGAAGAGATATGACATTCTTATTGCCATTAAAACAAAAAGCCCGTCTGATCACGAGTGCGTGCATTCCCTTTTCTCTTCTCTTTCCATACGTACCATCGAACCTAGAATATCTTCCTTTTAACGCATAAACAAACAGAGAGAGAGAGAGAGAGAGAGAGAGAGAGAGAGAGAGAGAGAGAGAGAGAGAGAGAGAGAGAGAGAGAGCGCTATTGGGATAATATGTATGGACATTAAATTTCCAGATGGGAATCTGAATTTGTTTCCCCATGAAGCTAATACACACTTGCATGGTTATGATATGGTACGTCCTGCCACACATCTTTCACCCTTTGAATAGCTAAGAGTTGTTGACCCAAAAAAAAAGAATAGCCAAGAGTTCCTGAGAGAGAGAGAGAGGGAGTATTGGGGAAGAGAAATTCAATTTTCATGCACATGTTCATTGTGGTTTGCACATGTCAAGTGTCATAAACCACGAAAATCGGAATGTCTACTATACCTTGAGCATAAATCCAACTTTAGTTGTTTGGTTTGATGTTTTCCTGGCAAGAATTCTTAATCCAACATATTATTAAACCAGATCAGACCAAACTTGAGCGAAAGAACTGCATCTTCATGCAAATATTTTTCAAGAGAATTATGCCTTTTGTAGGAGAGACATATGACCGTTCATCTACTCAATTAAAATAGTCACATTTATGAAGCAGCTTCTGAAGTAGCTCAAAATGGCAGGTTTACACCAGCTATGTTTTGCTGCATTGACAACCTTTCTGAATAGTTTCTTTTAGAATATTTTCATCGAATATTGGTTGTTTATTCATCGTTATATTACAAGGAGATATTACCTACACTAACTCTAAATAGTCAGACTTGCTGGGTGTGCCCTGAATTTCTAGCTCAATGAGGATTTCTTGCATGGATGGCTAGCATTGAAATCTGAATACTTATGAAGGAGGTGGTTTAGTATTGCCCAGCTTTCCCGCATCGGCTTCAACCGTAGAAAAGGGTATTGCAGCTTTTGTTAAATGTCTGGCAAGCACTACATAGTTGCAACTTCTTCACAACTACAACAATACTTTTACAACTTTTCCGAAGTTGCCTCCACCCAGCTTCAAGAAGTAGTAGTTTTGGAACATACATTGCCACACATGTGATAAATATGACATTTCGCTGCAAAAGTATGACATAACATAGCTACCGAGCAACCAAAGCTATATTAAACGGACTCGAAGAAAGATAAGCAAAGAATACTATTTTGAATCTTGCCGGTTCCCTATTTTGAATAGGATAATGGTTAGCATTCAATCTCAAAGTAGAAGAGGAGACAACGCGTACAAGCCTCATCATCTAGGGTGTACTTAACACTGTCTGTTACTTGTGAGAAGTTATTGCAAGGTTTATAGACATGTGAACTAATATCATCTCAATCATTAACAATATGGGACTTATCTGGGGTCGACATGATCAACAATCAAGATGAGTTTGATTTACATGATCTATAGATCATACAACAAGATTTCAGTGTAGGTTGCAAAACGGACTTAATCGAACCCATTAGCATCTCTAGCTAGGACTGACCAACGATGGAGTTTGGTTCGATAAGCTGGGGTGTCCTACTCGATTTCTCATATTCCTTATTTCACCCATTAATTCACCTCATGACGTGAGAACCCAGCTCTGATTCTTCCTTTCTCATTTACTTAATTTCATTTGGGGATTTCAGCAATCGTATTCCTAGTTCTTCAAACTCAAGTGTGTTGTTCATGCGATTTCACTCTGTTTTGCCTTTGATAACCCGATGCCAAACCATCTCTTGCATTGCTTTCATGAATACCATTATAAGAATTATTTATTGATCCTTTTGCCGATATATGTGGAGTTTCGGGTTTCATGAATACAAACGAAGCTCGCGATCAAGGAAAAAGGGTCGAGCTTAATTCACATTTTAACATTTACGAATATATTATATTGAGGCAAACTGATTACATGAGAAAGAGCCAAATTCCTTGCATGAAAGAAATATTCTTTGATGTTTCATTGGTATAAGAGATCGTCTAGGGTTTTTCTTTGATGCTAGTGACTATGAACCTGTCCTACGCACGGAAAAATTAACTTATTACGATATTATTCAGGAAATTAAAAACCCAAAAGGCTAATTTTTTTAAAATGGTGTGTAAATTACATATTCATTGATAGGGTAAAAAGAAAATGAGGATCGTGGAACTTTTAGTCGACGCTGCCAGTCGACGTCAATTGGAGATGGAGAAGAACTCTGACACGAATTCCTAATAAACGAGAAATGCAATCTCTCTTATATTATCGTGCTCTTAGTAAATTGAACATCTGGAATTGTTTAGTTCACTCCACAAACGAGTCTTCACAATATCAATAATTAATAAGCAGGAGTCAACTTTATAATGTTCAATATAGAAAACCGGAATTGAGCACGTTTGATAATCTCAAGTAATCATTAATAACCATAAGTCAAGAACATGATCCTTAATTCATGAAAATTACAATCATGATTAACATGAAAATAATCATGCCTTCGCTGCCTCACACTCCACAATCAAAGTACTCAAAATCTATAAAGCGGAAGAATTGTTTACTAACTATGGAAATATACTGATTGACATAGCAATAGTTACGGACGGATTATAAGATGAAAGATCGCTAAAAGAATCGGTAACGAATTTCTCGTTGCATCGTCATGTAATGCATTGAACGTGGTTCGCTTGATCCCATACGGTGCAATCGGCTTAATCAAAATTCAAGAGAAAGAAGAACATGAGGATAATTGAAGAAGAGTGTGTACGACACTACATATCAACCCCTTGTGGCTGGAAAGGAAAGGACCCCAACTTTCCCTCACCAAAGAAAAAAGAGGGACAAAAAAAGGAAGACCCAAAAAAAAAAGACGAAAAATTTGAAAAAAGATGGAAGATTTTCAACTCTCCAAGGAATCAGTGGACGAACTCGAGAATTGCAAAATATGCAAGCAGCACCGGCAAGGAGACCATCATTCCAAAGATCACCCTGCAATCAACAATCAAAAAAAGTTGTTAATTATAAAGATGGACTGTTAAAGCACTACTTTAATGTTCATGTGATGTATTGGATTAGCAGAAGAAAGATGTACTTACGCAGTGCTAAGCACATCTGCATGCTGTCCATATTCTTTGGCGTAGATGAAGGACGTAATCGATTGTGGCAGTGCTGCCTGCAAAACAAAAATAATCACATTTTTAAAGATATCCAAAGATCCACTTCGACTACTCTTTGCGAACGTCCATTGACCCGTCCACATGTTGGGTGGTCTTGGATCTCTCAAGGATGAGGCTTTTCCTCACACTTATAAACTGATTACTAGTCCAATCCACAACCGATTGGAATAACGCAAACAATCTACCCTTCACACATTGGGCCCAAGGCCATAGGGGTGTCAAAAACCAAATCGAAAACAAAACCAAATCAACCTGAAATTTCATGCATTTTCGATTATGTTTCTGTTACGGTTCGGATAATGAGAAAATAACCATTCTTTTCTTCTAGTTCGGGTTATTTCGGTTCGATTCGGTTAATCAAACCAAACTAAAATTCTTAACAATAACTGAATGCTCTTTCTCACTCCTCTCATAATCGCCATGAGAAACCCGAATATCCGGCTTTCTCGTCCGAACCGAAATCTGAACCGATTCAATCCGAACCAAACTGAGGTTTTCGATTTGGTTCATATTAGGTTTGGCTCAAGATTCGGTTCGGTTCAAACGTACACCGTAATGGTTCAGTTCGAATTTTTCAAAAAACTCGAACCAAACTGTTGACACCCCTACTGGGTCGGAGTAACAGATTTGTTGATAATCTGAGCTCTGATACCATTGTTAAGTAATCTTGGACCTTTCTCACCCCAAAAGATAGCCCAAAAGGGTAAAACTTTCTATCACACTTTTAAACTGATCACCTGCCCCTTCCTCAATCAATGTCAAGTTGGCAGATGTGACCCACAAGATTACTCCGAACAACAAGAGATCGATACCTGGATGATAGCGACACGGAGGACATCACCACGCAAGCCCAAGGCAATAGAACTGATGGCCATGGCCGCCGGACCGGCAACGAACCTCAAAACCATCCCGAACAGGGTCAAGCTCGGCCCACATGCTATCAATTTCTCCTGCAGTGCCATGAACATCCCTGCACACACGCATACACTCGTTAATTAACATCAAACCTAGGTTCTCTTCATGTTGTGGAATATATGTCTATGATCAATATCGGAATAAACGAGAAAGAATCTCATTCTCACCCATACTAAACATGGCAGTGCCTGTCCCAGCTTTTGACAGGATTAATATGCATCCATCCATTATGCTTGGCATCTTAATGTGCCACCTACGCATTCAAATATATGGAAATTAATCCCGACATGTACGTAGTTAGTGAGTAACAATTTCATTAATCATCAAATTATATATATTTGTAAATATATACCCACACATATATACACACACGGAGTTTTATTAATATCTTTTCTAACTTAATTTACCTGTTTGCAATGAACGCCCAAGCTATACCAACTATGCATGCATAGGAGTTTGGGTTCATGGCAAGCTTCGTCCAAACAGTCCTCATGAGAGACCAAAATGATGGCCTACTAGAGCTCACCATCATCCCCATCCTCCCTTCCAAATCGACTTCGGCCTTCGTATCGACGGCTGTCCGTGCTGGCGAGTCACCCTCTGTGGAGGACGATGACGACAAGATGTCGAGCCCCGCCCGCCTCATCTCCAGTACAAAAAGCAGTGACGTGAGCCACACGATCGCCTGGAACACCGAGCCCTGGATGACCAGGTCCACGCCCATTGATCCGTACATGGCCTTGAGCAGGGGGACGCCGACGACGAGCGAGTTGGTCAGCGTGCACAGCGAGAAGCTGGTAATGGACCAGCAATAGCTCCCTTTGGTGCTGCATTTGGCCCAAAACGCTAGCACCACAACTATGATGACCTTGGAGACGACGTCGGCGGCGATGAACATGTAGTTCCACTTGAAGGGATCAACATGGGCCGTGAACTCGAAGGTGAAGAGAGGGAGGGTGAAATAGCAAACAAGCCTGTTTATCGCATCGCACTGGTCTGGATTAAAAATCTTCCACCACTTCACCGATCCGTAACCCAACATCAACGCGACATATAGCGGCACCATCGCCTCCACCACCTTATACACATCCTCCAACCCTATCATTCTCTATGTAACCTACCTCTCTCTCTCTCTCTCTCTGTATGTTTTTCTTTATCAAGTAATCAAGCTCTTCACTGGGCTTGGTAGGCTAACGGAACGGTTGCTGAAGAAGACTGCGACGAAGTAGTCAAAACTCGAAGGAGAGTACTTATACTCGAGGAACGCGAGAGACGAAAAGCATGCATGCAATGCGACGCAAGCCTCTCTTTTTTTAAAACTTTTAATGTTTTTATTGGTACAATTATTTAAGTGATGATAGCCGTTCATTCAGGGAGGTGGGTATATTGGATTCTCGATTCCTGAAGGCGGACACGGATTGTGGTGAGTGCACGAAAGAGGCACAGTTGCTTTCGGGACAAATAGGTCAGGCTTGTGGTCAGCATTCTCTAAGTCCCTTTTTCTAAAAGAATAAGAATGAGGTCCAGAGATTATTCTATACCACCATCTTGCAACTAGCTAGGGTTTCTGGATTTGTGTAGAAAGATCATTATTGGTTATTACAAATTCTTGGGTCTCACCCAAAAGGTGGCTCTTCTATATTCTTGTGGGGGTTTAGAGATATACATATAGTCCCTCGTGTAAACATTACGTCCAAGGAAGCTTTTGGTATAAACATTACGTCCAAGGAAGCTTTTGGTATAATAAACCAAGTATTTGCTATACTGACAAGATAGATCTATTTGACTTAATCTAAAAAGTCAATTCCCACAAATTCTTGAAACTGGCCTTTTGTTTTGTCCAATGAACAGGGTCGATCGTACCTTGGTCAATGTTGCCATTTTCTTTAAAACTATTGGTAAAATGAAATGGCTCAAGTCCCTTATGCCGAAACTTTAATCTTAAAGATGTATAAATTCATTAAACCCCCCGAAGTAGAATTTTGAAAATGTTGAAAGCCAAGGCTCGGTGGGAGTTGCGTTAGGCTAAAAGACTTTGGAACTGCTAGACTTTGGCTCAAGGACCTTTAAGAATGTGTTGTCAAGCACGTCAGCTTTGGCACAAAAGCCTTTGGAGGCCAAAATGATTTTGGAAATGCTCTCTCAAACGCACCCAAAGTCCTAATTTAAGATCTCTTAAGCATTTCAGTGTCATTATATAGATCTTGATAGCATTTCATGATTTTCTATTTGTGAAAATACGTATATGGGTAAAAGAAAATGAAAAAACCAAATGATTTTCAGCAATTTTCCAGCTAGGGTTTGTGCTTTTTAAGCTGGAGCAGACCATGAGAATCGATTTGAGGGTTGAACAGCAGTTTTGTCTAGCTTCATGGTGCCCTGGGAAGCGACTGTATTAAGTGATGTGAAGTGGTCTACTTCAGTATAATCTAATTATCATCCAAGTGATGTGACGATTGATCCTCTTGGCACTAATTTTTGTCGTGTGAACCGTTGAGAGAATCATAGAACCAATTCCCATCGATATTATTGTCGTATGCTGGCCAAAATGCAGTGGAACACACGTAGAAAATCAAGTGAGATAATCTCCACTCGTTGATATTCTTGCTTTTTGTCAATTTCATGTACGCAAATGCTTCTAATTGGATGGCCTTAGATGACTTAGAATCGAAAAGAATTCATGTAGGCGATAACGTAATTCTTTATGCGAAAAATACCGATTTAAAGGATTTGAAATCTTCATGATTTTTCACAATAAGAGGGATGAAGACATACATTATCCATAGCAATAACATTGAAAATAATTGTTGCAGAAACATAAGAAAAGAAGAAATCTAATTTATCTTCCTTAACCCACTTTTATCTTAACGTATCTTATCTAACGGAGGATAAAATACAACCTTTTGTTGTCTTGGGTGGAAAGAGAACCAGGCTTTATTTATACAGGTTATCAATAGGTGCCTTCATTCATGTCTTCAATAGGTGCCTTCCATCAAAGTACATCCTACCTTCAAAGAGTTACATCTCTTCGTAGAACTGTAACTTCTCATAAGAATTGCACATTTTCATAATAGTTGCATCTCTTTATAAGAACTGTAACTTCAAGTAAGAATTGCACCTTTTCATAAGAGGTGCATCTCTTCATAACCAACATGATTTTGTTATAGCATTTAAATAATTATTAAACCATTAATTAATAATATCATGTTGGCCATAATTATTCTTACACTTCATAATTAATATAGGAGAGGCGGTTCGTGTTTGCAGGAATAGGTTGTAAAACTAGTCAACCAAACACAGCACGATTATTTAATCTAGTTGACGTACGAAACATGAATACTATCTAAAAATTATCAGGGTAGACACGACTCGTGTATCATGATTGAAATTGCATTTTCTTTATGTTTAATTCTTCGTTACCTGTCATGAAAAATATACAAAAATCACATCTTGCATATCAGTAGCTTTGGATTGCATTATTATTGAATAGTTACATTTGCATAGGTCACGTCATATATTGAAAAGGATAAAAAAAACATTTAGATTGCATATAGGTTATGCATCTATCATATCACTACATCTTTGTCTTTGATCTTTAGTTAACAGGTGTCTTTGGATTGAATCATGGGACTTTGCTTTGCTTTGCTTGCTCACTGCATCTCAGGTTCTTTACTCTTTTTAGAAATTTATTTGATACTTTAATTATTGAGTGTTGTTTTTATTTTTTGCACACCATGCATGATCACTCTCACATGTTAGCAGTTTAGGCTTAAAATTGACAAAAACTGCTTGCAAAACATTTTTGAGATAAAATGAAAAGGTGCCGAAAGGGCGTCGAATTTATCTAGCGTAACCAAGTCCACATATTCATGAATCTCTAGTTCGCAGAAGTGAAGTGTTCTCCTACACTTTACTTGGATTTCTAATCGATCCATAATAGATTATTAACGACTCATAATTGAAGAAAATTGCATGTTTAATTGAATAAATTAAAACCCCAAAGTTGCGGTTGGTACGGGCTTGGGAGAGTTTGCGCTAAGTCTCCGAACTTAGTAATCCGTTAGCTTTACATTTGATGGTTCACCTCTAAAAATGTTATGACAGCTTGGCAAATTGAATTAAAACTCTTAGTGGGACTTAAGTTTGAACTTTCTCTTTTCAAAAATACTTTTGTCTGGCAACGTGGAGACAAGCTACATCCGTAACATCAAGTATTAAATGTTTTTGATGTGAGTTATAACGGGAGTAGTCTTTGCTAACCTTTTTTTTTTTTTTTGCATAATGGTGATGAGAATGAAAGTTTTAATTTGCTATTGAAGCAGTGCTTGCATTATAAATTGTTGTGCATGCTCTATATGCTTTAGCACTATACTTTTGCACACACACAATGCCGTTGGACCTGGACCGAAATTAGGAAAATATATAAATGGTGTTTAGAAGGATACGCCCTGAACTTGAAGATGGAGTTGCACTTTCAGAAGACGAAGGGAAAATGATATTTTTATCTCTTGTCTTCCCTCTTTAATCTTTATTGAAGAGTAATTTGAAGTCATATTTATTAGCTTGAGTTAAAAATAATCATATAATTGAGTTAATAGTAGCTATAAAGTTACAAGGGTTAAAATAATCATATGTCATGCATGAGATCATCAAGAGGTAGGTTCAATGTTTTCAAATAAAAGCATATGAGCAATAATAAGGTGACAATTAAGACATTTGTTTGAGCTAAAATAGTGATAAATGGCATGGTTTGGTTGAAAAGATGGAGATTATGTTATTTAAAGTAAATGTTTTACATTGTGGTTAATAATCAGGTAAATCGGTATTCGTTTGACACGCTAGTAAATCAGAAAATTATTTTGAAACCACTATAATTATTAACAAAAGGTATAGAACAATAGGGACACCTAAACTCAATAAAATTTTAACATTGGAAAAAGGCCGCACTTTTTCGACTCCTCATATGGCTTAGATACTCCTTTTTTTGTTGTTATTTTGACTATCCTGTCCCTTGTACGGCTCACCACTTCTGCTACAATTTTATATGGTCTATTTTTTTATTATTTGGTCAACTCTTTTATTTCTTGCGATCCCCCTTTCCTTCTTCTTCTTTCTTTACAGGCCACTCGTCTCTTTGTTCTCTCTTGCGAGCCATTCTCAACTGCAAGGTTATCTTCTTTTTCACCTAAAAATTAAATCCCTCGTTGAAACTTGCAGATAAGCTTTCAAAGTTGAATATGCCCAGTAACATGGTTTCCGAAATGCATGTGCAAGTTTGTCCAAGTTGTCATAAAAAAAATCTCTGAAAGGAAGCCCTGTATTTTTTATGTAGTTAAGAACTGATGGCTTTTTCTTTGCAACGGTATCAAGTTGCCGAATAATTTTATCATCTTCCGCTTCAGTGTTGGAGTTCAAAACATTGGACCAATCAGACATAAAAAACATCCTAATGTGTCCCTACTACAAACTGAGATTTACATTTTGCCACAATATTTTTTTCAATGTGCCAAACACACAACAGGTTCGCACTTCTAGGAAAAATGATTTTAACTGCATTCATCAATGCCAACTCCTTATTAGTGACAATAGCTGAAGGCTGACAATCAACACTCAATATGTTGCTAAACATTGTCAAAGCTCAAACATAATCTTCCTCTACCTCCTTTCTCAAAAAGACAAAGCATGAGTAGAAAAAAGTATTAAAGGAGGAAACTCCAACAATATCCAACAAAAGCATTTTTTTTCTATTAGTCTTGTAAGTACAATCAATTACAAAGAAACTTAAGAAACTTTTCGTTAGTGCCACGGAGATAGGATGGGAGAAAAATAAATGTGTCAAGTGACCCTCAACATCATGTTTAAAATTGTAGATGAATCCACCTAAACTAAGCTCATCCACTAAAGCTCAGACCATAGTGCGACCATTTAGATATTCACGACAGAATTTCGCTTTCATGTGGTAACTACTTTTGGCAATAGCTTGAACATTGGGATTACTTTGTCTCAAGGAAGAAAGAATTTGGCATGGAGGTATGCCAGCCTTAGGCATCTCTTTCACACACAAAGCTTCAACTTTAGAAGAGCGATGACATGTCGTCATGATATATCACTCGAAAGATCATGATTGTGTGATGCATTCACTATTATGAGTGACCAAGATCCATTCTTTTTTATAGCCAAGGACGTAAAAAAGACAGTTAATAAAACAAGATCCAGTCGTTTGTCTCTAATGTGC